ACGAGCGACATAAATTCACGACAACTCAAGTGCGGATAATTGTCGAGAAATTTCTCAATTTCACAAACACAAAGGACAACCATGAAAATGAAGACACGTTAAATTGAATGGTGACTTCACAATCTTACACACACACCTGACAACGCCTTTCACATCCACAACTTTCGAAATGAGCAACGAAATAGACAAAATGAGACGATGACAGATAATTATGTAACCTTCAAAAGACACGAAATTTGATGAAAGTCGTCTGTTTCGCCGTCTCCTTTCTACTAAAAGCGCTCAAAACAACTCCGGCGCTAAAGATAGTTAAAGTTGGGGGAGGGCTGCGATAAAAAAAGTCGAAAAAAAAACTCCTCCGGAGTCACGACAAATAACGTCACAAACGTCGTTGAACATGGTCGTACCTACCATCCCCGTCTCCCTGCGAACATGGCGTGTGAACGTGCCGGCGACAAACTATCTAATGGACGACTGATCGTGACATGAAAAGAACAAACATCAACACCCACCCCTGCTAATATAGCTCTACCACGATTCCCCAAACAGTCCTACATCAATGACAATTGGTTGAAGAGTGGATCCCACAAGAGGTTCCCGTCGACGTTCGCGCATCGTTGGCGACCTTGCATGGCGTTCCCCACATTACCCAAGTCCACTTTACGCCGGGTGCTGTTGTCGTCGAGCTCCCAGAATAGGTTTTCGTTGAACTCAATCCTCACGCCTGGGAGGATGTCGTGGACAGTGCAAACGACGACAAACTGTTCAGGCAAGGTTTCCAAGTTCGTTTTGTGGGTGCATAGGAACAACGCCACATGCACTTCAACCGCCCGAAAACTTTCTCTACACAATCGCGCGCCACCTTGTGCTTCGTGTCAAAGCGCTCCTCGTCAGGAGGTTGGTTGATTCCTCTGTACGGCTGCACGATCCATGGACAGGCAACGGGGTAGTCGTTGTCGTCGAGAAGGTAACCTCACATGACGGTGCCGTGCGGTTGATTCTGCGGCGGGGCATCGAACAACTCGCCCCTTTCTACACGCCTCCACAAATGGGAGTTGCGCATGACACGGACGTCGTGCACAATGCCCGAGTATTCGACATGGACATCCAGGATACGCAAGTCCAAATCCACGACCACCTGGGCTTGGACTGAAAACTTTTGTTTGTGGTCGTAGAAGTTATCTGATGGCGCGCCAATGGGCTTGTCGATATAGATGCGCGTGCAGTCGATTGCAATATAGCAGTTCGGGAAACCCTTCTCCTTGAAAGCGCCCATAATCTGCACACGTCTCCGCCCCGTCGGCCACTTGATGGTGGTCGGATACGCCTTCAACAACACCGAGGTGACGTCGCGGACGGCCAGCAGTCCAGTAACCCTACCAACGTCGAAGGATGATGTGTCAATCTCGTAAGTCTCCCAAGATGTCCACCTCTACAATGCAAATGCAATCACCCGCTCCACCGGCAATGGCAGCCTGTAACTATGAATCCCCCGCGGTCACAGTCTTCGGTGGCCCACCACGGCCGAGAGGAGAGGGGGTTGTGGAAGGGGGTTACGGATTGGGGTTCTGGAACTCCAACCCCACCCCCTTGAACAAAAGAAAGTTCAAAAAAAATATTTCGGGGGGGTGGTTTTTGGTGTGTGAAAAAGAAAATATAAAAAAATAGAATTTTTTTTTTTTATTGATTGATTGGTTGATTGATTGGTTGATTGATTGATTGATTGATTGATTGATTGATTGATTGATTGATTGATTGGTTGATTGATTGATTGGGTGAGGTGCTCCGCCTGGGATAGAGATGGAGATGGAGGATGGGGGGGGAGCAAGATGGCACAGCGCAACTCCCAAGCAGACTCCAACGCACGTACTCCAAATTGTGTGAATGTAGAATGACCTAAAGTATAGACTCTGGCTAGGGTATACCCTAGCGGACTGACTGGATTGGACTGGACCGACTCGTACCGACAGAGGTACCGGCCTGGACTGGACTACCCTGAATACAACACAAGCCTGTGAGAACAGGCCAAGTGGCTGGTCTCACAGGCCAACCAGAGGTCTGCTACACGATCCTCGACCTATGATGGATCACCTAGATACAAGCACGCTTCCGCCAAGAAGCGGAACTCTACCAAAGAAAAAGAAAACCCGAGTAGTCTACGATGCGGAGCAAGCTCCATGCTGAGTCCATGCGATGCAACCTAGGATAGAACATGTCACAAAAAACAGCAACGTCACAACTACCAGCCTAAGTTAAAGCAGAAGCAACTAACTAGTATACATGTCCTAGGAAAACAAGAAGTAATGACAACTAAATCCTAGAATGTTGGAGGCAGTAGCCTGAGTCTAGAAACAACTCAGTCAACTGACTAGTATATAAGTCCTAAGAACAACAAAAGCAGAAACAACTAAATCCTAGAAATGTTAGAGGCAGTAGTCTCAGTCTGAGAGCAACAAAGCAACAACAAGACAACCATATGTCACAAGAGGAGTGTATCGCAAACCACAGGGTGGGATGGTCTCTAAGGATGGCGAATGCAGCCCAGGGGTCGATAAACTCCTAACGGCATCCACACATAATAATAGGGAGACACATGGCATCAGGTTCAATGAGGGTAGGGAACTGGCAGCGAACAGAACCAATGACCCTAACAGATAGACCATCAGGGCGGGTAATACTAGACTAAAGGGGTGACAACTATGGAGGGTCGACCATGCAAGGAATAAGGGAGCCTGGTATATTGGGCGCAGCTAGATGAACCATGCAAGGCTGCCTAACTAGGGCGTGAGGGCCAGCAAAGGGTAGAAAAAGTGATGGGTAAGGGAATCATACAAATGACTCCTAAGGTAAAGTCGGAGCTGGATCCGTAAGCTGGGAAGCCAGGGCAACACTACAGTCCCGATGCCTATGCGTATACTAAGGGAGAGCCCAACTCAGAGGAACCTGGCGAAGGGAGATCATCATGCAACACAACCAGGGTACTGTACAGGGTAAGGTGGTAAGAGAGTGACAACGTCTGAAGTAGGCAGAGCTGATTGTGACGAAGGTCGTGAAGCTGCCGACGACATCCATGATGAGAAGTACGGAATGTCGTCGAGGAAAAGTCGCAACGTCGACTAGCTGAAGTGGAAAAACTGGAGTGGATGGAGTACTGAGAAGTCAAAGATAAGTCAGAGTCAATCATCGTATCGAGCAAGACGACGACAAGTGCAATATGGACGCTCAGAAGCATCCCACTGCTGCTGAAGGTCTGCATCAGATGGAGTAGGCTCGACTTCAACGGTCTCCTCAGTCGAGGGAGAAGGAGGAGGGTCAATGGGCTGAGGAGAACCAATCAACCCAGCACGACGAGCACGATCATAGGCACGCACCAACATGGGAGTGTGCTGCAAGTGCTCGAGGGGCTCCTAGGTAGCCTCCTCATCAAGGTAACCCTTCCAGCATACAAGATACTCGACGTGAGGAGGGTTGTCGTCAGTGACTCGACAACCAATAATGTATGAAACGAGGAACTCCTCACGGTCGTCCACCATGATGGGTGGAGGTCGCTCCTATGGTCGTCCAACGAAACGCTCTGACGGTTTGCGGTAGGGACGCAGTAATGAGACGTGGTAGACATCGTGCACACGAGTCTGGTGTAGGTAGTCGGGCAGCTTCACACGGAAACTGACCGAGCTAGATGCCATATCAGAACCGATTGCCTGGAGAATGCAGCATGGGCCAAAAAAGCGATGTCGGAACTTGCGAACCGTGTCCGGTTCGAGCTGTAAGTGGCGGGCGTCGACAAACACATCATCACCGACTTTGAATGTATGATCCATCCTCGATCGGCTCGCATGTGCGGCCATGCGAGTCTGGGAAGCGGTTTTGTGCTTATGCGCAGTCTTCATGATCGACGTCATGTGTGCAACCCAATCATCCAACGCGGGACAACTCGTGTCGGGGTGCATCTGTGACGGTCGAAGGAAGTCCGCGGGAACACGAGGGTGATAACCGACGTCTCAATAATAAGGCGATATCCCCGTGGCTGGCGAGACGGTGTGGTTGTAGGCTATCTCCGCGTGGGCAAGATGGAGATCGCACTGCTGGTCGTTACGAGCAATTTTTCGGAGAATATCTCCGAGAGTGATGTTCGTGACCTCAGTCTGACCATCAGTCTGGGGATGGTAAGACGAGGAGAAGCAAGCTGGGTGTCGTACACCTCGTGGAGTCGTCATCAGAATTGACTGGTAAAGTGCGGGTCATGGTCGGATATGATTCGATCTCGCGTATCCTGCCGCCGCACCCTGCTCACCAGCGCTTCATCGTCCTCTCCCTCTCCGATGACATCCCCTGCCCTCGCAACATCCCTCGCATGTGAAGCCCCCCCCAGAGCGGCCCCTTGCGCCTCCTGTGCAGGAGAACGGTTCCTGTTCCTTTGAGCGACCGCTTCTGAACCACCTGCAACGTCTGCAGCCGTCCGCTATCGTGGGGTTGCTGGTATTCGTGGCCGGACCGCAGGCGCGTGTGCGTCCGGGGCATCGTTGAGACGTGGAACGGCCACACGATGTGGTTGCACGACGCCAACTGCCAAGCCCTCCCTCGATGTCGCCGCGGCTTCCACGTCCATAACGTCGCCGACTCCTGTATGGCCTCCTCCACGTCGTCTTTCTGCAGGAGCTTCAATTCCCCCCTCTTCAATTTGGATGCCTCCCCCCATCCGCCTCAGCGTCCTCCTCGTCAACGACGCTTCCTCCTCTCCCTCGAAGTCGCTCTCCTCCTGTGGCGCAACCTCCTCCCCAACCCATTCGTCATTTGCGGTGCTTCCTGCACCCGAGGGCCCTCCTTGGACGACCTTCCTGTTTTTGTTGGCGCTGTGTCGGCCCTTTTTCTCCCGCACCGCCGCTTCCATTGCCTGGTTGGTGGTGTTCTTGCCACGTCCAGCGCCGCGGGACGACATGGCGCACAACACAACCGCTCGCTGGCTGAGCAATCGCAAATCTGAAAAGCACAGTTTGCAGTCCACGTCGACAACGATAACGACGACGATGACGACGACGACGATGACGACGACGGCGGTGATGACGATGACGACGACGACGGCGACGCTGGCATAAAAGGCAACGACGGCGACGAGGGCGATGAGGGCGATGTAGAAGAGAAGCACGCGATGCGGATGACGGCTACGAACGCGCTGATGACGACGATGATGGCGACGAAGATGATGGCCATGATGTCGTTGACGATGTCGATGATGGCGACGAAGATGATGATCAAGGTGCTGCAGAAGGAAAGGCAAGATGACGACGATGGCAGCGATGGCGATGTCGTGTTGTCGACTCGACGACGACCACTTGAACATTTCGCAGCGAGATTAGATCAGTGAACTGCCCGCGCAGGCGGCGACCCCGCTGGAAGGCTTGGATAGTCGAGGGTGGTGGAGTGCAACGCGTGACTACTTTCGTTTCATGGAAAAAGCGATGCGTGGGCAGGAGGCAGGAGCAGGCGAACGCGAGTGAGAGATGGCGAGAAGGCTGGCGTGCGGAGTTTGAAGCGGGCGTCTGGAGTCTCGTCGTGGATTTGATGAGGACACTTGCATCCTCTCAAATAAGCACGCAGCGGTGTGCATCCGTCGACCGCCACCTTTCTTGTTGCTGCCCTTGGTGAACGGTGGAGAGGGATGGACCCCGCGTGACACCACGACAGGACACCAAACGCTAAGCCATGCGACGCGAATGGACACCCCCTCCCACACCACCCCGATCTGCCTATTCCAAACC